GTTTTTGCAGACTGAGTGACACCAACTAATAGAGGTGTGCAAGCAGAAAAGCACACAATAAGCACAGGGAATTGGAACATGGTGTTGTCAGCGGTTAGAGAACAAGATCTTTGCTAAGGAACTATTTAGAAAAACATGTTTGTAGCTGTAATAGCTGGAAAACACCACGCAGTGGCTTTGTGCTGTGCAGAGAGTGCCACCCTCTGCTTCTGCAGAGTATGGAGCCCTTCTCGCCTACCGGACTCTTCCTCTTTTGCTACTGCAGTTTGCACACACACAGAGCAAGTTACACAAGTACTCTGCTGGAAAGGTAACTCTGCAATAGTCTGTCATTCCCTGTTAATTTTAATTGTTAGCTCAGCTCTTTAATATGGCATTATATGCCTTTTTTTTTTTTTTTTTTTTTTTTTTTGGTCAGAGCAAAGATGGATAAATTTGCCTTCCCCTTTTAGGGGCAAGGCCCTGTAAGTTGCCGAAAAAGATAATTCCTATTAAGGTCTGAGAGAGCTTACTTGGAGACAAGGCGGCACAACAGCTCCTGCACCCAGCCTAGTCGCAGGGTGGAAGAATGCTGCAGCTGGCTGTGGTGAAAGGACCCGTTGTGGTACCTTATGATTATTATATTTGAAGAATAAAAGAGTGCTCTGTGAGAGGAACTTGAATAGACTTTGGGACAAGCCATGGGCTCTTTGTCTGCTGGAGACAGAGACTGCTGTTTACACAAACTGGTCTCCTGCAAATTTAGAGGAATCCCTGCCCTTGAAGGCCTCATTTGTGTAAGCGTTTGATGATTTTTCTGGGTTTTTTAAAAAACTACCACAACATTTATTGGTTGTGCCAAAACTGGTGTTGCTGACGACAGATATCTTTCAGTATGAAGGATTCTCCTCATCCAGGCAGCCCCTTTAAGCCTGTTCAGCTGTGCTTGGGCAGTAGTCTCTGAACAAGTGGTTATTCCTGTAGCTGGAGGGCTTGGTGCCGTGCTGGCGGCAGACTAATAAGTTAAAAAGAGATACTTTGGAGCTTTACCCAAGCAATAATTGTCCTAGAGAAATGAGATGAAAGTCAAGATTAGCCACTCATCAGTTTTAATTTGAGTTCTCTCCGGGAGGCAAAACTCCAACTTTTTACATTCTTACAAGAAAAACAAAGCAACAGATTGATCGATGGCTAGGCATTCAAGTCCTCCTCAGCATATTGTTCTTGACATCTTCTGTGGAAGAGTATCCAGTGAAAGTCACTACTAAAGAATTTGAAACACACATTCGTACACATGCATTCTCGGGGATTCCTCTCAAATCTCACCAGAGGCTCATTCTGTTAATGGCCCTCTCTGCCCAGCTCTGCGTCACCAATCCAAACCTCATAGCTGGTTTACAAGCTCCATGCTGAACATGTGCATCCAGCTGAGAAGATCAAACCCCAGTTCACACTGGTGCTGAGCCCCAGCCTGGGATTGCCCGCTTGTGCGGGCATGGGGCTCGGGCAGCAGGACAGCAGGAGGCTGCTGGTCTCTGAATCCAAACACACTTTCTCCAGATAGTTGTGCAGATCCCTTATTGAGACCCTGTTTGTGAAGTTGGGAACAGGAAAAGGTGTTTTGTTCAGTAAAGTCTTTAAGAAGACTGCGCTGAGGCGCACACTTCCCAGTCCTTCCTCATCACGCCCACCTGGTCCCTATCTCTGATCATTGGGCTCGCTCACCTCTCTCAGATCTACGCATTTCCACTTGCAAATAAATCATCCTCCTCCCGAATTAGCTTGTAAAGTAATGTTCTCTTCCAAATCATGCCTCGAGGGCTACCTCTGCGTGAGGTACACAGGAAAACACCCAGTTACTGTCATTAGCAATGTGCCAGGAGCTACAGGTTTGCAATTTAAACAATTTAAGCTCGCTGCTGCTTTGGGTTTAACTATCTTCCTGACTTGTTGAACAGCCTCGTGTCTTCCCAGAGAAGCTGCTCAGTGGGTTCAGGCTCATATTAAGGATAATTTGGACAGGTTGATAAAAGCAGAGAGGAATACCTGGAAAAGCTGACTACACGTTTACCTGGCAATTATATTTAGGGGGACAACATGACGTTAGAAGGCATTTTCATTATGAAAATAAAAACGTTCTGACTTTTCTGAACTCGGGGGGAGGAAGGGGGTTCAGAGTTTTCTGAACTTGGACATCATAGAGACGTCTGTTTTTTCGTTCCCACTTTCTAAACAACATTCTGGTCCATATGGAGACTTTAGCAAGGCTAGGAGTAAAATCCACCCAACCAATAAACTCTCCAGCAACCCCCAACTAATCCCTGTGTAACGAGATAAGCTAATATTAATGAAAAACAAACCTAGAAAAGCAAAGCCGGCCAGCATTAAGTGTAGGAGTAAACAGTTGTGTGGAATAGCACCCCGATGGGCCGGTTCCCAGCACCCAGGAGGATTTCTGGGATCCCCAGTGCCAGAAAGATGCCGATTTATGAGGCGGGGGCACCGGGCTGGGAGCGTGACAGGAGCAGGACATGTCACCGAGCGCCCCGACGCCAGCCCCTGGTAACACCACCCCAGTGAAACGATCCCGACGGCGGCGGCTGCGCGGGGCGCATCGCTTTTACACACAGATTTAATTTTTTAATGTAAGCGCAGAGTTAATTTTAACTCGTGCGAGCCGGGGTCCTGCACGGAGGTCGGAGGGAGCCGGTGAGTCCCGCCCGGCCGGTCTGGCCCCTCTCCCCGCCGCGGGCTCCCCTCAGGGTAGAGGAAGCCGCGGGCCGGCGCTGAGGGGAGGGTAGACCGGGCGGCGGGGGCAACGGCGAGAAAAGCCGCTTCCCTTCCCTCCCGGAAGGGTCCGTCCGGAAAAGCCTCCGCCTCTCCGGTGGGCCCGAGGTCACCGGCCGCCTCCCCGGCTGCGCCAGGCCGCCGCGGCTGCCCGCCGAGGGGCGCGG